TTATGCCGCAACAGATGATCCTTCCAGTAGGGCAGATCCCAGAAAATACTCTTTTTGTGCCAATTGTGCAGTTGTCCAACAAAGCCGAGTCGAATATTTTCATGTCCACCAACGTCTGACGTTCTTTCTGCACCAAAATCCCTTAATTGTTTCCACAAATCTTCTCCACTAACTTCTTCGGGAGGACCGTCTGAGACCTACTTTTTCTTCGTAAACAAAGTCCTACTCCGGCGATATGGATGCCTGGCTGGTAGAAATCTCCTGTGACAGTCAAACCAACACGTTTTCCTCCCATGCTTCAGTTGGAAAGCATCTGTGCTATCCTGACAATACGGACATGATAGTCTCCCATGTGTTGTCCATCCAGATAACATTCCATATGCGGGAAAATCACTTATTTTCCACATAAGTACTGCCCGCATCTGAAAGTTTTCTTTGCACGAAACATCGTATATCTCAGCACCATGCGCCCATAATTGTTACAACTCATATATTAGTGGCTGAAGAAACACATCTAATGATCTCTTAGGATGCTCTGGTCCGGGGACGAGTATGGAAAGAAACAAAAACTCTCGTCGCATGCACAAACTCGGCGGTAAGTTGTACGGTGTCACGATCACTGGCCATAGAGAATACTGTCTTCCATGCTTTCCAAATGGACTGAAACCATCAGTACATAATCCAAGATAAACATTTCTTCTCTCTTCCGCAAATTCTGGATATGTTTCTTGGAATTTTTTCCAAGCTTTTGCATCTGAAGGATGTCTAATCTGACCATCTGTGGAGTGCTCTGCATGCCATCTCATTGACTTGGCTGTGCGTTCTGACTGATACAACCTCTTCAATCTATCTGTCACAGGCAAATACCACATCTTTTTGAATGGCACCGGAACTCTTCCCCTCGTATCTTCCTTATAACGCTGTTTCCCACAAAATTTGCAACTATTTCTGTTCTCATCCTCTCCCCAATAGATCATGCAGTTGTCGATACATACATCTATCACCTGATACGGTAAACAAAGGCCTACTACAAGTTTCTGGACCTCGTAGTATGAACCCGGTGCAAGACTATCTTCTGGTAGAACACCTTTAACAAAATCCGCAATCGCATCCACGCATTCTTCAGCCAAAATTATAATCTGTCTTAATACCCATCAATCTAGTTGCAGATGATAAGGGTGAATGACCATCTCTGCAACCTTTATACAAATGCTGTTTTTCTGCATCCAACATGTCAAAAAATCTCCTCGACTGTGCATTGGGTTCTTCCCCTCTATAATGGTCATGTACCATATGCTCAGTACCAACCCCATAATCTACATCCGTTCTAGGTTCTTCTATCCTATCAACATGTTCTTCTACCCTATCAACAGGCTGAGGTTCGCTAGTACTACCGTATTCATAACCAGTTTCTCCATGAAGATACCAAACCTTATAATTCGGTGTAAACCCTCTCATATATAAATGTTGCCAAACATCCCATTCTCTTATGATTCTAGTATTATTGCAAGTAGAGTAGGGACATCGTAACATACCAGTATTTGCTTCCGGTTGTCCTTGAACAAGTCTCATAAATTCTCCAATACCTTCCATGTATTCTTGCGTAAGTAAATTGGTGTTTGGATCCATATGTGGTTTATCCATCCAAGAACGAAAATAATTATAAGAAGACATTTTTCGAATGAGAGAGTGAAGAGTGAGCAAAGAGAGAGTGAAGAGAGTGAATGAGGTGAAGGAGGAGATGTTGTATTTATAAGAAATTGCATACGGTAATCCGACGGAATTCCGACGGATTTCCGATGGTTTTTTAAAATACCAACGGCTATATAAACGGTCATATTCTTTTTGCAACGAGCAGAATATTTGTCGGAATTGCGTCGGGATTTACCGACGCATTTCCGACGACCCTAACGGTCAAATATTTTTATTGGAATATTGTTGGAATTTCGTCGGAATATTCCGACGAACATTTTTTGTCGGTAATTCGTCGGAAATTTCCAACGAAATTCTGACGACTTTGATTTAGTGATTTTCGTCGGTATGTCGTCGGAATATCGTCGGAATTTTCCGACAAATTATGTTTCCGTCGAAATATTCGTCAGAATTTCCAGTGTTTTCTTGTAGTGATGTCCCAGCAGAATCCATATTCAAACTAGTATTCATTGAGTTTGAAAGATTCCTGAAAATAACAAGAGAATTATAATGACGAACAGCAGTAGTGACACATGAATAATTTAGTAAGCAAGTCTATATTAATAATTTTTTCCTAGAGAGTCAAAATCATACAAACGCAACTTATACTAACTCCTCGGATT